TTATTCGAAAGTTCAATTTTCAATTTACTAAAAATATANAAAAATTCAAGGGGAAAAACTATATATTATTTTCGATCCGTAAAGGTTTTTGAAGCATTAAAAGTGATTATCTTGCTAAAATGTTGAGGAAGTATTTTAGGTCTACATTTACTTTAAGCGAAATATATCTTTTATAAAGAAATCATACGAAATTTTAAATTATATTGCTTGAAAAACATGTTTAAAATTATTTAAATTTATTAAAAAATAATTTTTCTTTACAGTTTCTTTAGTGAATTAGTTTGAATCTATATACACGTGACAATAACAAATGGGATAAGATACCCGAGATTTACTTCAAGAAAGAATAATGATGTAGTTATTATCGTCTCAATTTGTACAGTATCTGATCATTGTCTTAGTTGTAAATTCACTTTATTTAATAATTTTATTCGAAAGTTCAATTTTCAATTTACTAAAAATATAATAACATTATTAACTTAGATAATGGGTCTAATGCATTACCTATAATTTAAAAATCATTTATTTTTTATTATTAAAAGGAAAATGTTATTTTAAATTATAGTCGTGATAGTTTTAGAGTTATTATTTTTATAATAAGTTACAAATTTCGATTAATTTAATTGATATAATATATGCCACGCGATATAGCATGCAGTTTGAAAACTGATATTAAAATGGATGTTTTTGAACAATGTTTTTTAATGAAAAACTCTGAACTTAATTAAAATAACATCATTTAAATTTATATAATAAGATTTTAAGTTATTTAAATTCAAAATTATAAAACAAATAAACGTATAAGTTAGGAGTATTTTATTCATTTAATTAGTCTGAAGTAAAACATAAAATTCATAATACAGATTCATTATGGAGAATCTAATAAGTTATATACTATTTATAAAAATGTTAATTAAGTCTTTGGCTTTGAATTTAAATAACATATTGACTTTTAAAATGAATCATAATGGTTGATATGGTTTATATTAATTATAAACTGAATTACAGTTTGATTGTCATTTTACAACACCTGTATAATGTTAATTTTTAAAATAGTAAAAATTTAATCTACACATTTCAATTGTTTTTATACATATTTATAATTTTGATTGTTAACTCTAATCTGATTAAATCAAAAATAATTTGGCCTTAGATTGTAAGTTCACTCTGGGAATAGGCATTATTTTTTGATTACTGTACTTTAATTCCAAGGTCTTTTAGAAGAATTATCATTCATTTTGATAAAAATAATAATAATGAAATAAAAAATATATTATTCTTATTCATCATTTATAATAAGAAGAGAAAATAAAGTAAAATAAAAAAATAATTATTTGTTATTCCGTACTAAATGACAATTGTGTTGCTTTCTAATATTTATTGCTATAATATTACTAAATTCAGTTAATAAATAATTCAAACTAAATTGACTTTCGTCTATTTAAATCTTCATTGTTTATATTAAAAATTTAAAACATCGAATATATAATTTAAACCATTAAAGGGTCAAAAAAGAGTAAAAATTTTATTTATATTCTTACATATAAAACAATTCTATATTGAGTTGTTATTGTAATACAAAAGAACAATAGTAATTAAAATGTTGTAAAATATAAATAATATAGAAAAAAATACATTTCGAATGTTATAATTATTTTATATATTAATAATAAATATTTATTATTCCAAATTTTATTAAAATTAATCTAATTTAGACACTTCGATGCTTGTGACGATAAATGCTAATAGGCGCTTTTGATATTTATTTTTCACACGTAAGAAATGCTTAAAATTATTAAATTTTGTAATAATCTGAGATAATTAAAATACTAAATTTATTAAAAAGTACTTGGATTGAAGAAACTAACAGAATTTAGTTTCTTCTTTAGTCCGTTTTGAAGAGCATTTACAAGCCGTTTATCTTGGCAGGGCAATATGTTGTACTTGGTTGGGGCCCTGAAAATTTTAAAAATTCAGAGTCCCTTTTTTTTGGTAACACACAATGATCTTGTTACAGATTCATCAAACAATCCGTTCTTTTCATTAAGTAAATAGACTGGACCCATTTTTGCAGCCCAATCAAGATTCGTAAAACGAGCTATACAGTACATATGCAATTGATATATAAGGAATAAAATCTGCTTAAAATTTAAAAACATGTACATTTTTATCAATTGAAATTTCTTTTTAAACCTAAATTAACATATCTTCAGTTAAGTAAACGTTTTAACAGTTAAGAAACTAACATTTTATAAATTTATTTAATTGTCACTTGATGCTAATATAAATTTTATGTTATTTTTCTGAAACACTATAATAAAACGAAAATTTGTTTTCTTAAATAGTAAACTTATTGAAAATTTAATGTTATTGCTGAAGTTTTATTAAATTAAAATTTTTAAACGTTATGTAAACTATGAATTAATAATTAAAACACTTAGAATTAATTTCATTTCGAGAATGTGCTTTATTTATTTGTTATAATTAATTAAAATGATTAGTTAAACAATATTACTATTAATTAATAGCGTTTTAACTTTACCATCTGTAATTTTAATAATTTTTACAACAATTAAAATAAAAATTTATGTTATAAAAACCGGATATTATTAAATAAAATTGCTTTTAATTTCAATAAATTTAAGATAAATATATCAAAAATTAGAAATATTTTATTATTAGAATATTATATAAATAATAATAGAGCAGAAGTAAAAAATATATTGAAGTAGGCATTGTGGTTAATGTGACGAAAAAATGTTTTTGGAAAAGTCACAAAATCTGAATTTAATTCTTTTTTCCGGTTGGATGGAATATTTTAGTATGAATTTAAATAAATCTTCCTTTCAAAAAGTGCTCTTGCACTCAAATATAATTCACACAAGCTTTAGAAAAGTCGTATCATTTAATATAAATTACCATCATTGAATTTTAAAATTAATTAATTTTTTATTTTTCATTTCAAACGATTTAACTTTAATTTGCAAAAAGTGCATTCATTTATTATTAAGCAGAAAAAAGCCTTGTTTTGACTTGGCATTCAGAAACTGTTTTATTTATTTTTTCATTTTTATACCTTAATAAAGATAAAATTTTATTATATATATTACACTTATTAAACTGTGTCTAAGAAATAAATTTATTTCTCCTACACAATTTAATTTTATTTGTCAATATTTATTTATTTATCTTCAATTTAGATATGTAAATAACGAAACGTAGAAATATTCTATAGCCAATGAAATTTTAAATTTTATTTGAAAAACATACTAAATTATGTGAAAAATGTGTTTCATGTTTATATCTGGTGAATTTTATCAAAACTTTGTACCCTTGTAATCATTGCTTTTATTTTACATTAGATATTTTATTTATTGTAAAATTGATACTGATATATCATTAGATGAAAACATTAATGAGCTGATAAAATTCATATATGCCGCTTATATATATTCTTCATAATATTCTATATAAGACATTTAGCAACATGAAGTAAGAGGTAAATAATAGATAGAAGAAAAGAACCAAAATCTGACCCGTAAGTACTGCTACCCATAAGTAAGGTCCCAGGCTTATTTCGCGAAATAAGTGCCGCAGACTAGCGTTAAGTAAGACGAATACTCCACAATCTTGTGGAATCGTTATTACTCAATTCTGGTTTCTCATCTGTGAAAAGTGTATGGATTTTTATTCTTTATGTTCACGAAATTGCTGAAACGCGAATTTGGGAAATCGCCATTTTACTTCTAGGCAAGTAAGAGTTCGTTATTATTTTTCAGATAGAAAATAAACAATTTAGACATTATCCATATTCCATACTTTACTTATAATTGTAAGCATAATATTATTGATTTGATTTACAATAAACCAATCAAGAGAGAAATTATATTGTACTGTATTATCGAGCCAATAATAATTAGAAAATTAAGTTCTGTATATTTTTTTAATATTCTTATATATATATATATTCT